GGTCATGTGGCGTGTTCATTACTTAATGGTCATGTGTTACGTTAATAATGAGACACGTCAGCTATTTTTTGTATAAAATAATCAACTTAGGGCAAATTAATAAATAGTAGGGACCAAATTAGGAGGTCTATATAATAGTTTAAGAACTAAATCAAGGATTTTTTTAGTTTAAGGATCAAATCAGAGGTCCATACAATAGTTCAAGGACCAAATTACAGATTTAACCATATATTTACCCTTCCCAACGGTGATATGGCAACTTTGCTCCTTTTTTTTAATTGATCGTGCTCTTACCCTTTCGTCCCAAGGCACTCATTTCCTTCTACCTTCACCAACCCCTTCGTCTCCACTCAATTCCTTGTTGCTACATATGTCCTAAACTAGTGGTTAGGAACTTAGGGTAGAGAGGTCCTAAAGCTTTTATGATTTAGGTTTGAATATGGCGTATTTCCGCATCGACTTTGTGTTTTGATTGACTTTAAAAACTCAAACTTTGAACATGCCTTAAGTGAGTACCAAATTTAAATCACTTAATTTTTTATTTTATTATTATTTTTTAGGATTATTAAATATACATGTCTCTATTTATCGATTAATTTATATGTGATTAATTTTTATATTCACAATATGCCGATAAAAAAAATTATATACACATCTATATATATTAATATAAGTGTAATTTGCCTTACTAGTTTGGTTAAAAAAGAAGGCAAAATTTTGGGTAGAAATTAAGGAAACTAATTAGTTAGTACACCAAATAAATAAAAAAATAATGTGATGGAATGCTACTGATCATCACTGGCAATGGTTATATATCCCATTTTTAATACTTCTTACATGGTGCAGGATATAGACACGTCTTAAGCTATGTTTTAGGTTCATTATTTGGACATTGAAGGTAGGATTAATTGTCTTAATTTTCGGTTGGGGCAGGAACCTGTCTTTCGAGAACAAGTTAGGGCAATTAAACAAACAGATGTATGTTTAAACCAACCTTTTTTCCTTTCTTTCTTTTTTTTAGGTAGATGTGTTTTTGAGTCAATTTTTATATATTTAAAAATTAATCTATTTTATACAATTTTAAGAATATATTTTTACATAAAAAATTAATTTTGTAAGTATTTTTCTCAAAACTTAAAATTTAAATTTATCTTACAAAAACAACAATTACTTATTAATAAACTAAACTTCTGAGTTATATTTAAACGAATTGCCTAAAGAACTCATGAAAAAAGAAAGGCTTTGAATTAAATTATGATTCCAGCACTTGCAGGAAATTAATATACAACAACTCCGTGCTAAACTGTCATGAACATGGTGAACATAAATGATCTTTAATGATTTAAACCTTTGAATGTTTTGTCAATTTTGTGTGTGCTTGAGTTCTAAGAATTTACTTGCAGAAGATTGCATTTGCAATGCTAGGATGGTAAAAAGATTTTAAGGTTTTATAACACAGGTAAAAGATATATGAATTATATTTTTTATAATTAATTTATATAAACAAATTAAAATTAAAATTATTTATTATCTAATTAAAAATATTTATGTAGTACTAAATTAAAGATAATGTTTACCTATATATATTTTACAAAAACTTATTATAAAAAAATAAAATTAACACACATTTTAACTTATACATTTAAGATACGAAATAAAATAATCTAAAAATTTCTTCTCCCTAAATCCAATTCTAGTTAGCATAGTTTTTTCTTCTTAATTTAACAAAATAAACATGAAATAACTAATTGATAAAATTTAATATTTATCTTTAATTGACCACAACTTAAATAAGCTCTTGTAATTACTTTAAAATAAGTTATAAATATCCTTGAACTTTGTTGAAAGAGCCACATTATCCCTATTGACTAACGTTATAACACTATCAACACTTCTGTTAAAATCCTTCGAATTTTAATGATAAAATAACATTATTGGTCCCTCACCTTTTAGTTATATGTACTTTGATCCTTAAACTTTAAATTTATTTAATTTAGTCCCTAATTTCAACTTTTCTTATTGCAGTTTAGTTCTAAACTTTTGAAAGAGTTTCACTTAAGTACCAAAATTTCTAAATTCATGCATTACAATCTTTTTTACACAAATAATAAAAAATCATGTAAAATATAATAAAATTATTTTCAATTCATCAAAAATATTAATAAAATTAAGACTGAAAGAATAAATTAAAATATATAAAATTCATCTATTAAAAGTAAAAAATCACATATTTAATACTCAATTTAAGATTCTCAAAAATAATTTTTTAAAAAAAGGACATTTAGCTAGTTGTATATAGGGGTGATAATTTGTTTCGATCTCCGTGGACCCTGCGAGAATCCCCACCACAAGGACAAGGCGGGGAGGAATATTTCTCCTCGTGAGGTAAGGACGAGGGGTATTTTCCCCTTGCAAAATTTTGTCGGGAATTTTCCCCATCCTGTGGGGATTTCGATCCCCATGAAAAATTAAAAAAATATGTAAATTAATTTTATTTTAAATTTAATTCAACCTTCAAATCCAAACCTAATTTAATAAAAATTAAACTTAATCCAATTTTATTCAACCCATCATGATCCTTTTAACTATTTATGTTGGATAACTTTATTTATATTTGAATAATTTATATTCGATTTTATATTTAAAGAATTTTAGTTAATTGTACTTGAATTTTTAAAATTTTATTCATTATAATT